GTGTGTGTGTGTGTGTGTGTGTGTGTGTGTGTGTGTGTGTGTGTGCGTGTGCCTGTCAACCATCTTGGAAAATGAAGATTCAAAATTTTTTTTAAATATAAATTTAACATGTTTTCACAGATTATCCCATTTTTTATATAATAATCCTAATTTTGGGGTGTGTGTGTTTGCTGCAGGTCATCAGAGGCAGGTCGGTCCAGAGTTGTTCAGAGTGTTTTACACCATCTGGAAGGAAACTGAGGCTGAAGCACAGGAGGTCTGTACATGTACATGTATTCTAAATTACAGTATCATGGCTCAGACATAAAATATCTATCTCACGAAAACACTTACTAATAACGACCCTTAATAAAAAGCTATTCTCTTGAGTTGACGTTGGACTGATCAATAAAATGAAAATGAGTATCTGCGTACTGTAGCTCATGATGTCATAGGTTTGACACCAGGATGAATCAGCAGAAACTAAAGCTCTCACACTGCTGACTCATATTTCATGTGATTGTCAGGTGTGTTTACCAGCATCTGTGTTGGAGCACATCGAGCCCAGCGAGTGCGTCTTCAAGCTTTCCTCCTCGGTCAAAACGGGTCGCGGTGTGGGCAAGATCGCCATGACCCAACGACGGCTCTTCCTGCTCACCGACGGACGACCGGGATACGTTGAGGTGGCTCAGTACCGAGATCTAGAGGTGAGACAAGAGGGAGGATGAAAGTAGGGTCGATTTAGAGTAGGTTGTCTTGGTATTTACAAATCAAATTAACGTCATGAAAGAGAAGTGCAGTTTTATCAGGACTAAAAGTTTAAAAAGCCAGAATCAGTTCAGGATATTGATCCACATCTCTTGTCTTTATCTCCTCTCTCTCCCCAGGAGGTGAAGGTGTCCTCGGCTCCCTTCCTGCTCCTGCGAATCCCCAGCCTGAAGCTGCGCGTTCGGGGCAGGAAGGAGGCGTTCGAGGCCAACCTGAAAACGGAGACGGAGCTCTGGAACCTGATGGTCAAAGAGATGTGGGCCGGACGCAACATGGCTGATCAACACAAGGTAAAGATTGAATTGAAAAAGTGTGTGTGAGAGTGTGTCCAATCTGGGGCAGAAGGACGAGGGAGAAGCAAGAATTTAACGGTGGATGTGTTTTTATAACTCACACAGCGCCTCTATGTAGATATCAGTTAGTGTGTCTGTGTGTGTGTGTGAACCTCAGTGACCTCTGTGGGTGTGGTTGAAATTCCACAGGGCGCACATTACCATAAAAACACATTCATGCACAGAGACCAGGTTTTTCCTTTGTGAAACCAGATAATGTAAAAATCTGTGTCTTTCACTTCTGTCTCATTTATACCCTCATTTACATTTGATCTTGTCTTTAAATTCCCCTTATTTACAGTATACCAGCAGTTTATTATGAATGTACTTTTTATATCCAGCTTTGTGGATCCACAAGTTGGATGAGTATCAATATTTAGTCTTAATCCTAATCCTTTGTATAAATCCCAGTACAAATAGTTTGAAACTTTCTGTTTTTATTATGTTGTTATTGCAGAAACTGTTGATTAATCAAAAATAATTCTGCTGATTAATCATTTGAGTGATTGTTTTTTTTAATGAAAGATTTGTTTCAGCTTCTCAAATATGAGAATTTGATGTTTTGCTTGGTCATATATTGTCATAAAGTGAATAAAGTTGAGTTTTGCATAGTTGGATGATTGTAACTGGATTTAAAAAAAAATTCTGAGTTAAAATAGCAGTTAATCGCATCCTCATATATTTTTTTATTCATTTTAAAAGTTGCATTTTTTGATCATAACATATTTTCGATTTTATACTTTTTTGTACATTCCTTCCTAATTTTGCACCGGGCTCCACATGAAGTTTATTGTAACTGTGACTGTTCCTCCAGGACCCTCAGTACATGCAGCAGGCTCTGACCAACGCCTTGTTAATGGACGCAGTGGTGGGCAGCCTTCAGAGCAGCAAGGCCATCTACGCTGCTTCTAAGCTGGCTCACTTCGACCGCATCAAGACAGAAGGTAGAGGAAGATGCTGCTCATTTTAATTTACAATTTAATGCTGTTTGCATAGTAAAACATGTAATAATATTACATATATGATTGGGATGCTTAACATTTCTCTTGACGACTCAGCAGAAGTGTGTAGATTGTTATTTCTCTTCTGGGCTTTTAGTGTGTGTGCCGTCACCTCAAGGTAAATGTCAGTGACTTCTCTGTTGTTTATCTTTAGTCCCCATGATGGTTCCCAAGACGACTGCAGAGACACTAAAGCACAAAATTAACCCTTCGCTGGAGCTCGCTGCACCTCAGCCTGTGGACGTACTTTTATACACACCAGGTACACACGCACACACACACACACACACACACACACACAAACACACACACACAATGTAAAATGTAAAAAGGCAGAAGCTCATAAAGCTGCACGTAAAGTTTCTCAACACTTCCTCCTCTATTCCCCCTCACAGGAAAACCACAAAAAGAAGTTGGCTAGAAATGTATAAATATACTGAGGGGGGGAATTTTCTCAAGTTTGCTGTGGGAAGAGTCATAAATAGATAATTTAGCTTTTCCAGTAGGAGCTGTGAAGTCATTTGACACAGGACAAGTGAGATGTTAACATGTCAGTATCATGTGATGCTGTCACTTTCTCTCTCTGGGCAAAACATTAATAAATCCACTACAGCTTTGGACTTGTAATCAGCAAAGATATCCTGAGCTACACAATGAGCTGCGTTAGCTACGATATATTACATCTTTACTATAATAAAACAGTTTCAACTGAGTGCATTTAATTTACAAAAAGAGATTCTGAAAGAATGTTGTGCAGCTTTACTCAAACCTTCCTACCAATGTGTCCACAATTAGTTTATGCAGCTGTAAATGGAAAACCAACTCTAATGGGTTGTAGACTCTAACATGCAGTTTTTCTTTTGTTGAATAATTTTAAAATGTGTTAGAGAGCAGTTAGTGTGTGAAATGTCAAAGTCATTAAGAGAATTCAAGGATTTTGTAGTTACTCATTAACTATAAAGCTCCGCTTGTTGCTTAATTTAACGACATAGATTGGTGACAAATTATGAATTAACCCAAATACACGATGGGGCCACTGAAGGATTTAGTGAGTAGTGTAAGTAAATTGTTTTTCACCGTTATTGGTACGATTGAAGTTTTGAATCTTCCTCCATCACCATCATCTTCATCATCAACACCAAAACAGCAAATGAGTAAATATCTGATGTAAAGATTTGTGTTTCATTCCTCCTGTCGAGCCTCAGAGATTTGTTGGATCTATAGATCATCCGTATACAAAGATGGACGACATGACGGCTCCCATAAAAGTGAAGCCAAAGACTCTCAATCGCCCCCTGGTGGCTAGTTATTTGATGCTGTAAAAACAGGGTGAAACGTGATTGACAGCTGAGACTCACATGCTATTGGTCGAGCTTGTGTATCGCCGGGACCTTGATACTGAGGCTCCACCCCACGATCGCTGCTGCAACTTCTCTGGCTCGGAATGACGTCAGAAGTGCAAAATGGCGACGTTCATATCAGGGATATTTTGGCCTGAATTAGGAACCATCTTTTCAACACTTTATGATAACGAGGCCCTTAAACTACCTCACTCCTGAAAATCCCACTCATCACATTTGACTTTTTTACCACTGTTCCCCTGCCCTTTCATTTTACAATGGCTGGCAGACTGGAGCTTTATTTGGCAGGAAACATCTTGCCACAAAGCCACGTCCTTCAGTGGACAGACCATCTGGGGCCACTTAAATGCCCGGCTGGTGGCAGACTGACCCCCCGGCACTGACATACTCATTCTCTGTGATCCACACATGTACAGACACTGCTCACTTCTTCTATAGTCGTCAGCTCTTTGGGATTTCTCTCGGTGAAAAGAACAAATCTGTCCATTCAGATCCTCCCTCCTTGCCTCTCCCTGCCTCCCTCTGACTCCCCCCTCTCTCACTCTAGTGTGAATATAGGTCACTGAATTGAATTCTTGGCACACGGCTGCCTCACTCCTCCCTTTTTCTCCCCCCTCGCTCCTCTCCATTCGCTTCTCCCTTTCACTTTATGCTTCAAGAGCCCCCTCTCCGAGGTTTCACTTTTGCTTGTCGTGTCCCACCATCGCCCTGTGTCTCTCACATAAACAGGATGTTGCGCTCTTTGCTCCCGCCAGCGGTGCTTTTAAAATAGCGACGGACGAGTTGGAGGAAATCTGACCGTTAGGTGAAGCCTGGGTGGAGTCACGCTGCAACATGAAGTGTTTCCATTCCAACCGTTGAATCTTCCCTCCTGAGTGGTCACTGACATTTCAAAAGTCACAGAGTTGTTTCTGTTATGTAAAGATTTAATGGAAGGTTTTACCAAAGTGGTTTCATATAATTTATGCAATCTGTATGTAAACTGCTTTTAAAGTAAGTTAAGTTAAACACTGTTGTTGTTTGGGAGAAGGTATAATATAATATATAAGTGCGTGTTTGTGTCTGTGTGTGTTCTCAGGTCAGTTGTGGGTGTCTGTGAGCGGAGGGAAGGTGATGGTATTTGATGCTTCCAGCTGGTCCCTCACACACACCTGCCAGGTTGGCAAAGCAAAACTGGTAAGAAAAGCCTCCATAGAACAAACTGTCTTATTCTGGTTCAGCTGCAGTCAAACCTCAGTTCTTCAATAAAAAACGAATTAAGAAGAACGGGTCAAAAACATTGAACATGCTATAATATTGTTTTAATTATCAGTAGATGAAATAACTACTTATATGTTCTAGGTCGTCTTCACTAACAGACTCACTCTCATCAGTGTCATTGATAAAGTCCTCTGGCTCTTGTTTTGATTTAAAATAAAGCTTTCTCCTCCTGACATGTTTCAGCTGGTTAAGAGACAAATATTTTCCCTTGGTGGAGTTATAAGGTGGAGTAGGGGAATCCCCTGAAGCCATCATTGAATATAGTTTTCTTTTTAAAAGGATAAATAATAGTTTACAAAGATAGAAATCTAAAAAGCAAGTGTACTCCACATTTTCTTTAATAAAGGGAATGTTGCACCTTTACTCTGACTCACTGTTCTGTGTAAAAGGTACGAACACTGAATCAATGCCGGATCAAAATTGTTTACCTTTCGCTCCCGTTGCTTCATTTCAAACAGCACCAGTGTTATCTCCAGGCTTTCAAACACATGTTTCAGGGGGTAAACTGCGCTGCATTATTTTACATTACATTTCAGTCCCACTACATTCCTCCTGCAACATTCCTGAGTAAACGTAAACAAGTGGAAGTCGTCCACGGCGTCTTAAAGCTCCTGTAGGTGAACGTTCTGCCTAAACGAGGTTAAGGATGAGTGTAAAGTTTTTTTGAGGCACTTCTCAGGACTGTGTTAATCACTGAGCTGCACTACAAGCATGCAGGTCACAGTCACATGAAGTACGTTAACTGATATGTGTGTGAGAAAGATAGAGGGAGAGTGTGTGTTTTCACTGGAGTCAACCATAATATTTGCACAGGCTCTGCCACAGTTGGACCGTGCTCTTACAAAAGTAGTTACTCAAAGACTGAGGACAGTAAGAACTCTTCAGGAATTTAAAATGAAGACGAACTGTAACTCTTCACTCTTCTTCTAGATTTTCTTTTTGATTTTTGTGAGAAGCAACTGGCTGCAAATTTCTTTACAGATTAATCTTGTTTAAATCGAGATTAGCTGAAATGTTGAGGAGGACACTGGGTTCTGTAGTTTCTAAGAACAATGTTGCCACCTAGTGGAATAGTTTGGTATTTCACAATGAGTTTACACCCACACTAAAATATTTTCCCTCGTTTTGTTGTGGATTCAGAAAAATATCACAAAAATATTTGTCACAATTACCTGAATTACAAAGTAATCCATTCACTATCATCTTATTTATTAATTGATGTATTTATTCATTCATCCATCGTTTATCTGTTTATAGCTGATTCTTTGTTTTATAGCTTTTTACGCTTATTTGTCTTTTATGAAAATATACTCTGTGTCCGTGTGACTCCTGAACAGTCAAATGTGTTTTGCTGTCAGAACTGCATGCTGGGAGTTGACAAGGATCAGGTGTGGATGGGCTCCGAGGACTTTGTTATCTACATCATCAGCATTGTGGCCATGGTGTGTAACAGACAGCTGACTGAACACAGGGGGGAGGTCACAGGACTGGCGCTCGACACGGACAAATACAGGTAACGCACACACACACACACACACACACACACACACACACACACACACACACACACACATATACACAAGGTCAGAATAAGACGAACCACACTGACTATCAGATAATTGACACATAGCCTAAGTGTAATATTTTACCACATATCTATTGAACCATATAAAGTATACAAACATTATATGTGTAACATTCTTGTTTTCTTCACCACTTGTTAAACTGTAGGTAACCATAGCAACACCATTCATTAAAACTAACCTAACTCTGGGTTTAAGTGACTGACTCCCTTTTTTGGTTGCATTGCTCATTGACTATATTACACCTCTGACCTTGTGCAGAGGATAACCACTCAATGGAGGAAGTGCCTCTGCTTTATTTACAACAAAAAAAAACATGAACCCAGGTGCCTGACCATGCAGTGCTCTACATGTTAGAACCACAACCTTAGAATTAATCAATGTACAAATCAATTTAGGTCAAAGTGACACGTAAAGTATTCAGAAGTACATGAAAATAAACACACTAGTGTACTTTGTTCTTTAGCCAGAAGGTGGCGTACTCCTGCAGTGCAGAGGGAACAGTCATGGTGTGGGACATATCAACACTACAGGTCAGTTTGAAACCAACAGTGTGTCATTTGTTATTTTCTATGTTCTGTCATGAAAGGTCAAATTGTCATAAAATACTATTACAGCTTTAGAAGTGATTTAGTTTGCTAATTCAATGATCAACTTTTACATTGAACTTAACTTTCACTCACTCCTGTTTGCCGCTTTCCTCCCAGAAGTTGCAGATTTGTTTCTCGTTCATTGAGTTTTCCGTTTGAAACCACTCAGGTGAAGAGACACTTCCGCCTCTCCTGTGATCGACTGGTGTCTGTCTCCGGCTGGAACGGGAAGCTGTGGTGCTGTGAGTCTCACACCTTCACGTTAATGTATTAAAGTGGAAATCTGAGAGCTGAGTAACCAAATCATGTCTGTCTCTCTCTCCCTCCAGGCTCCAGAGACAGTATAATGGAGGTGTGGAGGAACGGCTCATTGAAACATCGTCTGAATCTGCCGGATCAACAAAAAGGAATTACAGCTACGTTCAGCTCTGTGCTGCTGTTACCTGAGGTGACACACACACACACACACACACACACACACACACACACACACACACCATGATTATCTTTATCATAGACTATATATAAAGATGGACGCTGTGACTCCAGTTCCTCCCATCATCCAGAAATGAAGCCAAAGTAACACTGATATACGAACATCTTGTGAAGATGACGTCATTTGGAGCAATCAGAGGAAGGAGCCAAAGTATTGCGGTCCCACCCATACACATGCTCGACCAATCGTGAGCCAGTCTCAGCTGTCAATCATGATGTGTCGCTTCCTTTTTGATTGCATCAAATAACTAATTGAACCCAAACTTAATGGGGAAATGAACCTTTGAACATTTGTCAGAGTTTAGTTTATGCACTCTGACTTTTTAATTTGTTCCATGTCCCATCCAATAACATGGAGGAGGCAGGGATAATAGGCTATACAGCAGCCAGCCACCAGGGGGTGATTGAGCACTTAGGCTTCACTTCTTGGAGCAGTCATGTCGTCCATCTTTACAGTCTGTGATCTTTACCTTTCTGTTGTTCTGTGTTCTATTGAAGCACTTTTCACTCATGTTTGTGTGTGATGTGTGTTTCTGTTGTGTCTGTCAGAGGGAGGAGCTGTGGAGTGTGTGTGTGGACTCAGGAGAAGTGTGTATCTGGTGTATGAAGGACCCTACCAAACCGTTCCACCGTGTGGCGCTACAGGACTGCACTGGATGTTACTGCATGATTAAAGTGAAAAATCAGGTTATTATACAGAACTCGTGCACCAACACACAGAATTAAATGCACAAATCCCCTTCGATGCATGATAACATGAGCAGTGACGTGAAATAAAACCACACTGTGTGACCCCTCCAGGTGTGGGTTGGTGGTGTGGGCCGCAGCTCCACCAAAGGAAAGATTTACATCCTGGACGCAGAGCGCCGACTCGTCCTGAAGGAGCTTCACGGCCACAGCGACAAGGTGACAGCGCTGTGCTCAGCTGAGGACCGCTACGTCCTCAGCGGTGCCGGCAAACACGATGGGAAGGTTGCAATCTGGAAGGTGGAGTAGTGAGTACTACGGACTGGAAACGGACAAAGTAACTCTGTTGACGCTCACTGAAAGGACAGTATAGAATCTGTGGGAAAACACAAAGGGCCTAGTATCGGGAGGGGAATCAAATTCACAACCTCGACCTGTAACTGCGTCACAGAGATATGAAGGAATCACATTTTAGTCATGTGGAGATTACATTAAGCGTCACCAGCTGAGCGGCATCTCCTGCCCGCTATGAAATGGTGAAATGCTGACATTACCGATTATAAAGGAACATGAAGGACACATGAAGACTGAAAAAAGAAAAGTGGACGCAGACAAGTTCTGCCGGATTTTGACTTTTAAACCAAACTGCTTCACTTTACTGAAGGTTTATACATTTTGAGCATTTATGTTCCACTCCTCCCATGCATTATGTAATGCTGTACCCTGTTTATTGTGAGTTTAATCACACTAGTGTTACGTGGGAACATCGTGTGACTGAGCCGAGCCTCCAGCTGTGTCTTTGAGCCGAATCCCGCAGCTCGAACTACCCTGAAAATAAAACTGGAGAGTTCGCCGTCGCTGCGGGGAAGCTTATTATGATGGAAGTTATCCTTTGATGGAAAACACACAGAGGAGAGTGATGGGAAGAAGATACAGAGCTGGGACTCGTGACACACCACCGACACGTGATGTACAGTGAGGTGTGTCTCAGAGGAACTGAAGAACGTCCTGCAACAACTGGAGTCTGTCAGCAATTAAAAATGCATAATAAGGACCAATCCTCTCAGTATAAACCTGATATTTACCTTGCTGTTAAAGTTTCTACATTTTTCTTTACAGATATAGTTTGATCCGTTTTAACAAGGAAGGGTTTTGTCTCACACAGAGGATATGAAGGTCCTAGTCAACAAACCCAAGTTCCTGGCTTTAAAACACTTAATGCATATTTGAATGAAGATATTTATCATTTAAGGAAAAACACAAGCCATAAAACACATATGTTAAATATCTATTTATATTCTGTAGACATTAGTGTTTTCTACAGTGTTACAAGTATTTACAAAGTGAAACCAGACAGACTGATGATATTGATTCTTCAAATATGGAGAATGTTGTTTTCTTACTTTTCGTGTCCCATGCAACAAGTAAACTTTCTGTGATTCCTGAAAATTACTTTTATGAAGAAAGTGCACTTTTTAACTTTTTAACAAAACATTACCGGTGGGATTTAAGCAATAAAACATTTGATCGAGGTTCGATCAAAGGTTTAACTCCTCGTTTACTAATGAATCTATACAGTTTATATAACAGTTGAACATAAACGTGACATGTATTACAAAACTGATATCTACTACAACTCAACCAATGTATTTATATATATTTTTTTCCAACTGAATTTTTTTAATGACCATATGAAACTGCACAATATTTCTTCTGAAAGATTGTTAACAAAGTGTTTTTAAAGCAACAGTGATCAATACACTATTTAAAAGGACTGTGGAGTTTGTCTTTATTTCCAACCAGAGGTGACTTTCTCTGACAGTTGACCTTTGACCTCAGGGTTGCAGAGGACACACATATTGACTCTCAGGATGGAAAAGACACATTTTTCGTATTTCTTATATCTATTGCACGTATTTCTCTACGTGCTTATCACACATTGATCGTTGCGTCTTTCTTGGGCATCACTAAAACATGTTATTCAACAGTTTGGGAAACACTGCACCATGTAATAAATTCAGGTTGAGCATTTTGCTATGTGACAAATTCATAGATCTTCAAATTGTATTGCGTGAACTTTGTTTTACTTCTCGCAAAACTAAGTCCTGTAATCAAATGATCATATTATCACTACTGTTGTGCATTTCTTTGAGTTGACCGGAAGAGGGCGCCACTTTATATTAAGACAGTTTAAAGTGGCAGGCAAATGTTGATAAAGTTGAGTTTAACAGATCCCAACTCATTATATCAATATACTATAATCTCACCTAACTGCAGTAGTATTGATAAAGAATATAGCTTGACTAAATTAATTATATTCTCTGCAGAATTTGTAGAAAATATCACCATTTCAGCCTCAGTGTTATTGTTTTTTCTCACTGTTGGTTCAAAACTTGAGATGTCGAATCACTTTTTTTTATTTATACCAAAGAAAAGCTTCAAATCTATACATTTGTCAAGATAAAACCAGGAAGCATATGTAAAAACTCCAAGGTGTTTGTTTGCCCCGGGGCGGCTGAAACTCCAGTCATGTTGATCAAATATTATTTATACTTGTGCAATTAGATTTGTGCAACTGTTTGTGGGCGTTGCATTGTTTACTGAAAGCCAAAAGTAGCTGTTAATCTCTCACCATGGAGGTTCAGTCCAGCCTCAGCTGCTGTGGATGATAAGATGTTTTCTGTCTCCCTGCAGCCATTAATCAGCTTCCTCAAATTCAGTAACTTTTCATTCTAGGAAGTGAGTGCCGGAAATGCTGTTTGTGCTCTATAGTGAAGCTTACTGAATTCACTCTAGAGAAGAAATATCTGTTTTTTCTGGATTGATGAGATAGCCTACATCAAAATCAAGGAAAAACAACATGACAGCTCCCCAAAGGTGAAGCCAAATCATCTTGATCACCACCTGCTGGCTGGCTGCAGCAGAGGTCATTGATCCAGGCTCCTCAATTTGTTTAAAGAATTTAGAGATACCTCAAAATTTTACTTCAAGGTCCAGTGTGTAAGACTCAGGTGAAAGGGATCTATTGGCAGAAATTTCATGTAGAATAATTCTCATGATGTTTTCACTAGTTCATTTCATCTAAATTGTATGAATTGTAGTTTTCTTTAGCTCAGAAAAGACCCTTTATATTTAAATACTTTATATTTACATTGAGGGGACCCTCTCTACGGAGGCCGCCATGTTTTTTACTTTAGTCCAGACTGGACAAACTAAACACCTTCTGATTTTTTATAACAACTGAAGTTACCACAGGTTATTTTTCATGTTTATAAGGAGAGGGTGAAGTGAGGGGTGTTCAGCTGCAACATGCAATTTCAACACTAGATATCATATAAGTAAATATTCCCATGAACAAACATCCATCCAATCTTTGCTTTTTGTATAAAATAAGATTTATATTAAACTTTATTTTATAGCACTTTTCAAAACACAAGGTTGCGAGAGTCTTTACAGGTTGAAAGTGAAAAATTTAAGGCAAACAAGAGGAAACAAAAGCAAATTAAAAAGCAAATCATAAATAAATCAATTTGTAATATAATGACACGTTATTACATTTAAAATGGCTTTATTCATTGTTTGCTTTTTTTTTTTAACTGTTTCCTCTTGAAGTTCTCGTTGTCAACCTGTAAAGACTCTTGTAACCTTGTGTTTTGAAAGGTGCCATATAAATAAAGAGTATTATAAATATCGTGTTATCATATCATTGTATCTTTATAGAAGAGTTATATATATATATATATATATTATTCCCTCTAATGGATCAAACGTCTCCTTTAATAAAAATCAGCCTCTGCTTGTTTGTATGTACCACCGCCACTGCCCCGCCCCTTTATGCAGATGAGCCCTTACGTCGGCGGAAGTCATCTCTTCCGACGCTTCTTCCTTTAAAGGCGGATTTAAAGCTCCGACTTCAGCCGCAGCTGCAGAACAACCGAGGCTTCAGGAGCCGCCGCGGAGCCACTGTCCCACCGACACACCAGCGGAGCCAGCGGCTGACACCACCCGGCGAAGGTGAGCTGCGGGGTCCGGCGGAAGCACCGGGGGCCACACGGGCAGGGAAGGGTTTTTCGTAGCCGCTGTTGCAGGGCAGGCTCCCCGGCTGTCAGGCTGTCAGGCTCCGGCTAACACAGCATCTCAGGTTGCTGCTGCAGAGAGGAGGAGGAGGAGGAGGTGGAGGAGGAGGAGGCTGACTGTAGTTTCAGGAGGCCTGAAAAACAAAAAGAGACGAGGAGCAGACAGGCGCTCAGGACAGCTCAGGTTTCTAAGTGGGCTGCGCTAATTATAAAGTGTCATGTCGTCGCTGATGTCCGGCAGGTGAAGAAGGTTTAAAAACAGACCTCAGGCTGAATTAGCTTCATGTGCTCCATCGCTGCAGTGTCGTAACAAACCAGGACGGTTTACAGCTGAGCTGCAGGTGTTGACAAGTTCACGTCATGAAAACAGGACGAGATGCGCTGAACGTGTCACAGGACGTTCTGGCGATAAGCGGTATAAAATGAGTCGGTCGATATCGATAATTATCGCGAAAAATGTGACATTGTTTTTTTTATTTCAAGTGTAATGATGATTTTGGCTCCTGAGAGCCTGTGGTGATATGAACTGTTCTTTCTGTGCAGAGAAAGACAGGTGATCGATTTTATTTTTAGGATTGTTAGCACACGATAAATAACTTTGGTGCACACGATGAATACTTTGTGCACAAATGGTAACAAGCTCATTTGCATATGTTAAACAGGTTGTGAGCACAAGATAGGTAACTTGTTGTAAAGGTAACTTGTTTGCTCATGAGAAGTACCTCAAGATAAACAGGCTTATTCACATCCTATAAATAGACTTATTGTGCGCAAAGAAGATAATAAACCAGTGTGCAAATTTAAAAAAATGTTGGCCTACGATAAATAACTCGCTGGCACGCGTTAAATAACTTGTTTGCACAACAAATAAATAAAAAACTTGTTTGCACAACAAACAAATTTGAAAACATTTAATTAGAAAAACTTGCATAATTTTTCAAATTAAAACCATAACTTGGTACTTGAGCTGCTCTCATAGTCAGTGTCAAGTCAACAACAAAGTTTTATTTATCTTCTGTTTAAACATCTCTAATTTACTGTATTTGATCAATTGCATTTGTACACAATGACTTACTGTGTGTGTGTGTATGTGTGCACTGTCATGATATGCTGGGTCCTAACTCTTTGTTGCTCGTGTGTGTATATTCAGGTACGACTTCAGGGCTTAAGATTGCAGCCTGGACCAAACAACAACGTCTCAACGACATTTATGAAGCTTTCAAGGCCTTTTG